CGGCACTGGTGTCATTGCTGTATGTGACTATAGTAGAATATGGCTAGGTGCGTACGATCGAGATGTAGGCAAATAATACATCCTGCAAATAATTTAGCCATTGAGTCACTGAAGCAGCCATTGCCTGTGATTTGGAGAAAATCGTTTTGATATATTGAGTGTTTATGTTAATCATGATGTCTATGATCTATATTTATAGATGTCCAGTACACTGAAGTGAATTTTAAGAAAGAAGGAGGAATATCACCACTTTGACAGAAATCTTACTATGGAGATTTGGTGACTTTAATTTTCTGTGTGTAAGTGCACACATTTGCCCAGAATTACTCATGGTTCCTAAGGCTATTCACTTTAAAAAGGCTTTCTAGGAAGAAGCCATACAGCTAAAACAGAGAGAAGCTATGTGAAAAGGTAGAAGAAAAAACAAAAGGATGGTGAGTGCTGTTAGCTCCTCATTTTCCTGCCAAGACATAAGATTAAGTATTACCACTATAACAAAAAATAGGGAAAGTAAGAGGAATTGAGACTTTGAGGAGAGATAGGATTAGGCAAGTCAGTGATAGCAGACCAGAGAAGAAAATTGAGCAGGAAGTTGTGGTGGTTGATGAGATGTCTTGAGTCCAGTTCACAGCACCCATCTTCCCCATGCTTCCCTGTGGTATTGCTTGGAGAATACACCAGCTCCTTTACTCATCAGACCACTTTAAAATCCCATTTTTCCCTCAGATCTGTAAGAAGAAGACTGGAGGAAAGAAGAGATTCAAACTCCCAGGCTGCAGCCACTGTACTCTGACATCAGAAGACCTGTTCTATTTCAATGTTTGTCTGTGTTTCTGTGCTTTTTGAAATTTCTGTTGAAGTATATGGTCATTTATAATGAATTTAGTCCAAGCCAATAATGGCACAGTTTAAGATTGAGCAAAGAGTATAAGTCGACCCCAAATGGGGAGATTTTCCTTAGCTTAAGCTGAAGTATGGATGAAGTGATTAGATTTAATTTTAATAATCTCTGTGACATTCATAACCCATACTACCAAATCCTGAGAAATATTTAATAAGGAAATGAACAAATAGCTGAAAGAAATATAGATTGATGTGTAGGGTTTTAAATTTTTTTTTCTTTGGTAACCACACCACACATAGCACTCAAACAAAAAACCTCACCTGACTAGAGAGTTAAAATGAATGAACCTCAAGGTTATCCAAAAGGATGAGTGTGGAAGAATAACCATCTCCCTTCTTCCCCTGTTTCTTCCTTGGTGGTAATAGGACTATGCATGTATGTATGTATGTATGTATGTATGTATGTATGTATGTATGTTAGGACCTATTAGAGATCTATCTCTACCTACTAAATCATTGTCAAAACCAATATTACCTCTTTGCATACCAGAGGGGTCAGAGTCAATCTTCATTTCCCCCAAACCTAGATATATCAATGCTGCAAGAGTTGCTTGGAACCACAGATATTGGTACAACTATATATAATAAACTTCACAAATCTCTATATTATTACAAACACCTCCAGAAAGAAAGAAGGGATGTAGAGTAAATTGGTCCCTCTGTTCACCAGGCTCCCTAAAGAATCAGGAACATAGCAGGGAATGGATTCCAAAGGGAGAACAAGACCATGTAAGCTCCTCTATATATGGGAATATCAAGGTTCTTGGAGCCTTAAATCACTACAGGGGACAAAAGCACAGACAGGTCTATGTGATTCAATTTAATTGTCTCTGACAAAGAAGGAGGATTTCAAAAGATTCCTGCTTCTGGAGCACAAGCCCTTCTCCACGGCATCTCTGCAGAAGGAACTTTCAACTAAAGGCTTTCATTTCTCACAGAAGGAAAGCTTGGGGAAGGCACAGAAAAATTTTCTCTCGAACTATTTTAGCCATGTAAAAATATCTAAGATTTTACCTGTTCTTTCTCTCCTTATGTATTTTTACTTCTCCTTTTCTTTCTTTCTGCCCATTCTTTTCTCTCCTCATCCCATACACCAAAGAATTAGAAGTTGGGGATTCATTAATTGATAAAAGTTTTTATATGAATATCTATCTAGTTATGTACATGTCACTGTGTTCTTATATTATGGGGAACTGATCTAGAGCTGGGAGGACCCTTAGTGGCCATCTAGTACAATGCCCTCATTTTTCAGAGGAGAAATTGGAAGAGAGCAGTGGAAGGTTAAATTACTTGTTCAAGGTTACACAGGTTTGGTGGAGGCAGGATATGAACCCAGGTTCATGCTAGCCCTCCAGATATTTCTGCCAACTTTCTAGAGATGCAGAATTTCCTTCAACTCAGATGGGGTTATATTTTAAACTTACAATTAAGGTTCCAAGTGCAAATACACCTTTGAGGGCTAACTATTCCTATAAATTAATAGGAATTTGGAAATGATTGACTTTCAGAGGCTTTAGAATGAGATCTTAGAGATTAGCTCTATTCTGTTATCCCTTACAAGCACCAGTACTGAGACTTGGTAACTCTGCCCACTAAAAATGGAGCAGGAGAGGCAGTAGACTATCATGGATACAGAACTGGCCTCAAAGTTTTGAAGACCTAAGTTATATGAGAGTCACATAGTCTCTCAGTGCCTCAGGAAACTCCTAAGACTATAAGTTACAGAGGAGGTACCAATCAGTATTATACTAATTAAATCACAAATCCAATTTAAAAAAAATGTGGAGCAGAACAGTCAACTGAAAAGATCCAAGTAGTGTACCTGAAAAACATCTGAACAGATGGGTAAAGAATCAAGGGAAAATGGCCTAAAATAGACATATGGTCCATGTGAGAGATGTCTAAGGGAAGACAATAGGCAGGAAAAGCCACATGTCAGAGCAATTTCATAACTAGGAGGTACAAATCTAGGAAGCTGGAAAAAAAAAGGAGACCAAGTAGACAGTAACAATAGAGGATTCAGCTATCAGGGCTGTAGTTAAAGCTCCAGTTGCTAGGGGGAAAAAAGTGAAATCAACACAAGATCCTAGCACAAGATGGAATAGGTTATGAGGCAGAGCCTTGGGTCCAAGGGAACAAAATAGATCCAGTTTGAGAAACTAGTGTACAAGTTGGAGGAACCACCCTGGACGAGGAAAAAATCCAATTAATAGAGCCAAGTCCAAGGTCACAGGTAGATTAACAGAGATTGACTTAATACTAAGTCACTCCAGCTACTTAAACTGATCTATAGGCCCTTTCATTTCCCTGCCTAGGAACAATGTTGTTCTTAGTACTCTGTGCAGGGGTAAGCTTTAAGGCAGGCCCTAAGTAGCCTCAGCCATGTGGGGATAGAGGCAGGGGGTCATGAGTACTATACCAATCATTGCAAAAGTCTCTTCTTAGACATAGTTATCCAAGCTCTCCTTGAATACTCTCATTGATGGGGAGTTTACTACTTACTGGTTATTAGATTACAATTAATTTTATTGTTAAAATTTTATTCTCCTGTTGTGCTGAAATCTGATTTTTCCCCAAAGACTCAAATTTTACAGCTTTTTCTGAAAGCTGATTTAGAGAAAGGGTCCCTGGGCTCCAGATTCCAGCAGAGGGAAAACTGGTACAGAAACAGGAGGTTAGATCTACTTAATAGACATTTATCCAATGCCATGATTTCTTGAAGACTTGGAACTGTCCCATACCTGTGGCTTTCAGTGGCTAGAGCCTCCTTACAACAACAGAGACAAAGGAGGCTCCAAAGTAGACTTACATGGTACAAGGGAAAGAGCATTGATTCTAGAATCAGAGAAGCTGGGTTCAAATCCTTCCTCTGACACTTATAACCTTGGATAAGGCATTTAATCTCCATCAACCTTGGCCTCCTCATCTATGAAATGAGAGTATGGAACTAAAAGGTTTGAGGCCACTTCTAGCCTTAGGTCTGTGATACTATGGTACTTTACCAACTTTTTGGGGTCCCTGAGGACAGCTTTTCCTTTGATTTATTCCGTTTTGTGTGCACAACAACATCAGAAGCTTACTTCATATTATCATAGTCCAGAAACTATGAAGCATTTTAATAACTTAATAGCTTTATATTTCAATTGATGACATATGTGTCTTGTCTAACCTATTCATTTCTAAACTTCAAGGACCACATTTGTGTGAGTTTTGTTATTCTTTAAGATTCTTCTGAGAAGTTTAGGTCTACTGTTGCCCACTGGGCAGCCAACTGATGCCTGATCACAGTCCATGTTGTAAACTCTACATCTAGGTTGGCCAAGCTCCCTTCAATAAGCCCAGAATTGGATCCACCCTTTTCATTTCTTAAGTTTTAATACATCCCAGAGCAGACTATTAGATCAGAACTGGCTTCCTTAACATTTCTTCCCCCAACATGTTCTCTCACAGAAGTGAATTCATTAAATATAAACTGAGCTGATTATCTGAGAGCAGGGTCTGGAAGGGAGCAGGCTCCTACAGGTGATTTTTAGGTAGGCTGAGAAGTTCCTTCCTCCTAAAGATGAATGAATACAAAGCACTCATTAAGCATTGGCTATATTTCAACCACTGTGCTAAGTAATGGGGATACAAATACAAAAGCGAAGATAGTCCTTGTTCTCAAGGAGTTTATTTTCTAATAAGAAAATGCATGTGCCTTTTGATATGATTTATTCTGCCTGTTCCCAAAAGGTGCAGCTAAGACCAATGGGTAGAGATTGCATAGAAATAGATTTTGATGGTCTATAATATGTTTTCTCTCACAATTCAAATAATCAAAAAGTGGAATGAGTTATCTTGGAAAGTAGTAGATTCCTAATTGTTGAAGAACTGCAAGCAGAGGTGAGATTGTCAAGAGTGACATCAATGATGTTGTACATGTGTTAATTGTTCAGATGTGGGTTGGACCAGATGACTTCTGAGTTAGCTTTGAGTTCTAAATTTCTGTGACTCTTACTCTGTTACTTGTAACATTCTATCTGGTTATTTTTTATTTTCCTAGGGTAGATCCTCCTTGGGAGCTGAAGAATCACACAGTGGTGATCAAGTTCATCTTGATGGGAATACCCCACACTAAGGGGCTGGAGACTGAGCTGTTTATCCTGTTTCTCACATTCTACCTCCTCACCCTGTTGGGGAATCTGCTCATCCTCACAGCCATAATTTCTTCTTCCCAACTTCACACTCCCATGTATTTCTTCCTGGTAAATCTATCTGTGTTTGACATATTTTTTCCTTCAGTAAGTTCTCCTAAAATGCTGCTCTACCTCATGGGATACAGTCACACCATCTCTTTCCAGGGCTGTGCATCCCAACTATTCTTCTACCATTTTCTGGGCTGCACTGAGTGTTTTCTCTATACTGTGATGGCATATGACCGCTTTGCAGCCATCTGTCACCCACTGAGGTATACAGTCATTATGAACCAATGGGTGTGTACTGTCCTGACCATAGGTACCTGGTTGGGTGGCTGTCTGCATTCAGCTGTGCTTACATTTCTCGTCTTTAAGTTACCCTACTGTGGCCCAAATAAGGTAAATTATTTCTTTTGTGACATTCCTGTAGTGTTGCCTCTAGCTTGTGCAGATACCTCTCTAGCCCAGATGGTGAGTTTCACCAATGTTGGCATTGTGGCTCTTCTATGTTTCCTGCTCATTGTCACTTCATACATTCTCATTGTGTTCTCCATATTGAAAATCTGCTCATCAGAGGGCAGGTGCCGAGCTTTCTCTACCTGCAGTGCTCACCTGACCTCCATCCTCTTATTCTATGGGCCTGTGGTCCTCATCTATCTCAGACCTGCTTCTACACCTTGGTTGGATTCTGTGATTCAGTGTTGAATAATATTGTCACTCCTTCTCTCAATCCCTTAATTTATACACTGAGGAACAAGGAAGTGAAATTGGCCTTGAGAAAAGTACTGTACCAAGTGGTAAACACTTCAGGAGTGTAGGCCATGGGTTCATTTCCTACTTATACCTTCATCTCAGTTTCTGAGAAGTTGCTAAAGAAGCTCTCTCCATCCTATGCTCTGGATGGGGTTGTTGCCAAGAGGAGAGCCAGAAGTTGGAGAGCACAGAAAATCTGAGTAGGTATGAAAGTCACACTTCCATTATTAAAGACCTTACTGCTATCTCAAAAATAAACATGCAGAGACTGGAAGCCCAACAATGCCTTGTTACCAGAAGCTCTTCCAGCTCTACTCAGTCCTTTCTGGAATTTGCCAAAAAAATTCCTAACTTCCCCTTCCTGTTTCATTCATTTTTATAATTTTGAGCTCATTTCAATCGACAAGATGTTAATTTTGTCTAGTCTAATAGATTCTTGGTGTCTTTAAGGCCTAGGATGATGTCAGTTTGTTGTTGTTAGTGTTTCAAAAAAGACTTATCACTGAAAAGAAGTTTGGTGCTTCTTTTCCCTGTGAGCACTTGATCAACACTTGATGACTGACTATGGCATAAACTCTACAGATGGGTTGGTCAAGCTCCCTAGGGTAAGTCTAGGACTGAAGTCAGCCTTCTTTGCTTTCTTTTAATATGTCCCAGCACTGCGTAATTATATTAGGTCAGGAGGTCTGTGAACTTATATATATATATTGAAATTATATTGAAATGTAGTTTTATATATATCTATATATCTATATAGCTATAATATATAGATATATATAAAACTACATTTCAATATAATTCATTTATTGTGTAATCCTGTATATTTTATTTTGTGCATTTAAAAACAGCATTCTTCAAAGGGGTTTATTTGTTTCATTAGACTGCCAAAGGGGTCCATACCTCAACAAAAGTTCAGAACCCCTGTATATGGTCAGTTCTGTTCTTTTGTCTTCATGGAAGCTGTGTTAGACTTTTCTCACTTTGTCTTAAAGGACAATTCTGGAAGACCTTTTTTTTTTTTTAAGGTCAAACACATTCGGCCTGTGTAGGACTCTTCTTTTTAAGATATGGGCAGCTGGAATAGCCAGTACCCATCAAGGACTCCTTTGGGGAGGCTGGTGGCAGGTGGAGGGGGCCAGAGATAGATGGTTAATGATGATGTACTTAGAGTAGTCTGAGCACCAGCAGGGCCCTTAACTGGAACCTAGATAGGCAGAGGTTCCTTCCCTCCATCCTTGTCCCATCTCCCAGCCTGGGAAAACTTCTCTGATGCCCTAAAGCCTCAGAGGCTGGAGCTGGGAAAATTACAGCTGAGAGGTGTCAGATAGAAGGGAACTATCTCTAACCCAGTCAAATTAACAATTCTCAATCCCACAGGGTAAAGAACAGATGACTGTTAACCTACAAAGGGTAAAGTAAGTTCACCTTGCCCAAAATTGAGCTTCTCATTTTCCACTGTAAATCTGTTCCTTCTTATGACTTTATTATTTCTATCTGTGATACCTGTCTTTCCTGGCCTAGTAGATTGTATGCTAGACTTGGAATTAGGGAGAACTGCACTCAAATTCTGCTTTAGACATTTATTAACTGTGCGACCCTGAGCAAGTTACTTAATTTCACTTAGCCTCAACTTACTACTCTGAAAAATGGGGATAGTAATAGCATTCATCTTAAAGGATTTTTAATGAGGGTCAAATCATCTTCATCAAAGCATATAAAATTTGCAAACCTTAAATTTCTATATAAAAGCTAGCTGTTATTATATCCTGAACCTTGAGATTATCTTTGCCTCTCCTCTACTTTTTCTGTTATTTAAACAATTACCAAGTCCTATTGACTTCGCCTCCACAGAATCTCACCTCTGGTATTGCCCCTCATTACCACCTACCTGGATTAGCCTTCTAAAAGGTTCTTCTGATTCCTCTGTTCCCTCTCCAACCTAAACTTCATATCACTGTCAGAATGCTCTTTCTAATACAAAGTACCCTGCTCAAAAATGTTCACTGCTCCTTATAGCCTACCAAGTCCAACCACTTTTGTCAAGTTTTCAAAGCCTTGCACAATCTAGAGCCACTTTACCAATCCAGATTTATTTCATATTGTTGTTGTTCAATCATTTCAGTCTTGTCTGATTCTTTGTGACCCTATTTGGGATTTTCCTGGGTAAGATATTGGAGTGGTTTGGCATATCCTTCTCTAGTTTATTTTATAGATAAGGAAATGAGGCAAATGGGGTTAAGTGACTTGCCCAAGGTTGCACAGTTAGTAGGTGTCTGAGGTTAGATTTGAACTCAGGAACATGAATCTTCCTGACTCCAAGCAAGCCCGGAGCTCTATCTACTGTGCCACCTAACTGCTTTTATTTCATATTACTCTCCCTGTTTACTCTACTCTCTGTTTCCCAATAGACTCCATCATTCCCCTCCTACACATACTTTTTTACCGTTTTCTATGACTGGATTGTCTTTACTCCTAATTTTTGCTTGCTCAGTTTCTAGCCATCCATAGATTCATATGCAATTTGAGCTAGAACCTGAGAGATCAAGTACAATTTCATCATCCCATAAAGCCCAACTTAAATGTCATCTCAGGGAGAACACCTTCCCTGATCTCAGATCTCTCCTTGCCCCAGATTTCACAAAGCATCTTGTTCTGAACTTCTCAAATGCAATTTTCTTGAGGTATCTTATACTAGTGTATGCAGGGTGCCTCAAAGTCTTAGTGCAGTTTTAAGCTTTTTATAATGGAAAACTCTGTCCACTTCTCTTTATTACTATTGTCCTCATCTTAGTACTGCCCCTCATTACCACCTACCTAGATTAGCCTTCTAGAAGGTTCTTCTGATTCCTCTCTTCTCTCTCCAACCTAAATTTCATTTCATTGTCAGAATGTTCTTTCTAATAATGCATAGGTTTGCTCAAAGTACTCAGCTCAAAAATGTTCACCGGCTCCTTATTGCCTACCAAGTCCAACCATCTATACAGTAAGGACTGTCTTATTTAAATATTCCACCTTTCCTAGTGCCTTGCATACAGTAAGTGCTTACTAAATGCATGCTGAATGTGCACAGAGGCTTTGTTATTCTAATAAAATAAAATTTGTAAGATATTTCATTATAAAGTAACTTTGATACTATTCATGATCTGTGTATATTTCTTCCACCAACACAGATTGCAATCTCAATATAATCTAATAAATGTTATTATAACAGTTTCTTCAATGAAAAAATTCATCATTTTGGCAGCCAACCTCATGATTAGCCCTTCCCAACTTAGGCAGGACAATACTAAAATGATAAAAGGGCAGTTTATCACCAGATCCATCTTCAAAGTCTTTTCATTTTAGTGGGACCTGACAAAGTTTGCTTTTAATGGCTTTTAAGAACCCAAGGTCAACTCCCTGTATGATTAGCCATCCTAGGAAGACTTTAAAAGAAATGTAATAATAGGCATAATAAGTACTGGGCTTCAGGATAACTTTATTGTTCAGTCATGTCCTAATTTTTTGTGATTCCTTTTGGGGTTTTCATGACATAGATACTGGAATGGTTGGTCATTTTCTTCTCCAACTCATTTTGCAGATGAGGAAAGTGAAGTAAATAGGGTTGCTGACTTACTAGTTAAGTGACTTAGGCCAGATTTGAACTCAAAGAGCAAGTCTTCCTGACTTAAAGCCTGGTGCTCTATCTACTGATCCACCTGGCTGCCCACTCAGTATGGCTAATCAGTTGTAAGTAGTAAGGAAGTTACATAAATTATTAGAATTACTTTTTAAAAACCAAACTGAGATTTTAATTAAACCACCAGGTGGTGCTACTAAGCCACTAATATTCTCTACCAACGGTGCCCTGCAGCTTCTGGTTTTCCAGCAGGATCAGTACAACGGATATAAGAACTACATTTGGATTTAGAGGAGCTAAGTTCTTTTCTAAATATTTCTAAATTTAGAGGACTTAAGTTGTATTCTAAATAGCTATGCCACTACCTGTATTACCTTGGACAAATTACTTAACCTCTCCAGGGATCAAAAATGCATCAATAAGTCATTTAAAAATATACCAAAGAGAGCAAAAAGAATTTCAGAAGGATATAGACATGTACCTAAGTATGGCAGTTTTGTTACTACAGTATGAGATTAATATGTTTTGAAGAACTGTACGTGATGTAAGTTTGTAGTTCCATATGCATTTTTCTTTTCTGTACTTCTTTATATATTGAAATGTTAAAGTTTGTTGCTATGTATTAAATTCATAAAAAAGACAATATTATTAAAATATATAATTATATGGACACACAATTTCATTATAAAACATAGGGAAATTCATACCCACACAAACAAATTTTTATGAGACTCATCAAGCTCATAAGATAAAATAATTTACAATGATTTGTACTTTCTTAACAAAGTTTGAAAGATGTTCTTGAGAATTGGGCTCACTGAGGAGGAATCTAGCTTTGGCCATCAATACTTAGAGGCTTATTCATTCTCAACATTGAGTCCCATTTTATTTAACACCTTGTTGAGGGCAAATTTCACATCCTTATTCCTTAAGCTATAGATCAAGGGGTTCAACACAGGGGTCACAAGATTATTTAATATCTGAACCACTGAGCCAAGCAAAGGACTGGTAATGGGTTATAGGTAGATGATGATGATAGGCCCATAGGCACAAAGGATTACTGTAAGGTGTGCACTGCAAGTGGAAAAGGCTCTCTGTCTACCTTCTGCGGAGCATATTCTTGATATGGAGATCCTAATGCGAGTATAGGAAATGAGAATGAGGAAGAAGCATGTGAGAGACAAAAGACCAACATTAGTGAAACTAAATCACTGGGCTAAAGATGTATCTGCACAGGCCAGAGCTAAAACAGCAGGAATGTCACAGAAATAGTAACCTACTTGGTTAGGGTCACAATAAGGTAACTGGAAAGTAAGGGAGGTCAGGATAGTAGAATGAACACACCCACACATCCAGGTGCTTGTTGCTAGGATAGAGCACACCCTATGATTCATAATAATTGTGTAATGTAGGGGGTGACAGATGGCAAGAAAGCGATCATATGCCATTACGGTGTATAGGAAGCACTCGGTGGAGCCAAGGAAATGGTAGAAGAACAATTGGGCTGCACATCCCTGGAAAGAGATGGCTGACGTCTGACCAGAAAGATAGAACAACATTTTGGGTGAGGTAACGGAGGAGTAACAAATGTCAAATATAGACAGATTTCCCAAGAAGAAATACATAGGGGTATGAAGACGAGAGGAAGAAATGATGGCTGTGAGGATGAGCACGTTCCCTGACAGTGTGCATAGGTACAGGGATAAAAAGAGAACAAAGAGCATTGTCTCCAGCCCCTCTGTCTCAGGGATTCCCAGCAGGATGAACTCAGTCACAACTGTGTAGTTCTTCATTTCCATGGCAAAGTCAGCTCTTAGCTATCTGTGAAAGGAAATATGTAATTTAATTTAACGTTGTTGTTTTTTTTTAAATATACTGCTTTTGAATCCAAGAGAAAGAAATGCTTCAAACTGCCACAGAAGTTAGGGACTGCTGCTGTCAGGGTCCCACAACTTCTGAGTACTAAATACTAAGGATCCAAAATCTCTCTGCCAAAAATAAACATAGTGAATGAGACAGAATGAAGATAGGTTGGAGTAAGTGGGGGAGAAGAGGTATTAGAGAGAAAAGGTATTAGACTGACTACCAAACTGAAGGTTTACAGAGCTGCTGTGCTGATCTCATTGTTGCATGCCTGTGAAACCTCGACAGTATACACAGCACCATGCCAGGGAACAGAATTGCTTCCATCTGAATTGTCTTGGGAAGATTCTGAAGATCACCTGGCAGGATAAAATACCAGACAGCAAGGTACTTTCTCAAACTATACTGCCACCCATTCAAGCTCTGTGCAGAGAACACAACTCTGATGGGCTGCCTGTGTTGTTCAATTGCCAAATGTATGCTTACCTAAAAGACTATTTTATAGACACCTCACATAAGGTAAGCACTCACACAGTGGTTAGAAGATGTGATACAACGATACTCCCAAGGTCTCTCTGAAGAACTTTGAAATTGAGTGCATGACATGAGAGACACTGACATAGGACTACCCAGCATGGTGTTCCCTTATCAAAGAAGATGCTGTATTCCATGAGGAATGGAGAATTGAAATAGCTCCAAAAAAAAAGTAAGATGTGCAAATTTAGAGAATCTGCCTCAAATGTTCACATGGGCTATTTGTGCCCAATATAGGTAGAGCATTCCAAGCTCATATTGGTCTGATCAACCACAGTCAGACATACTGCAACTTGACACTAAAATAATAATGTCATTTTGGTCCTCTTCAAAAAGAAAGGGACACAACCATGACCACCACCAGGTTGGAACTAGACTGTGAGAGACTTAAAGTACCAGGCCAAGGCAGCTTCATTTTATCCTAGGGGCCACTGGGAGCCACTGGAATTTTTTGATCTAGGAAGAAACATAGTAAGATCTGTGCTTTTGAAAGACTATTTTGGCAGTTGTGTGGTGGATGGGACAGAGAATATAGAGACAGACAGCAGGGAAACCAACCAAGAAGCTATTGACAATCCAAGTTAGAGGGAATGTGGCTCAAAACTATAGTAGTAGTAGTAGTAGTAGTAGTAGTAGTAGTAGTAGTAGCAGTAGTAGAGGTAGTAGTAGTAGAGGTAGTAGTAGTGTTGGTAGAAAGAAGGAAACATATTTGAAAGATATTGTAGAAGTAGTTGTCAAGATTTGACAACATCCATACAATCATGCCAACAGTGTCATTCTATATTCTTCCTCACTAGAACAAAGTGGAAAAACAAAGTTTCAGTGCCCAACAACCTAAGAACAGATCCAGCCTTGGTTTCAGTCCATATTCCTTCAAGTCACTTCTAAGAACCAGTGTATTTTGGGGAACCTTTGGGATTCTAGCCACTTCCAAGAACTGGAGGGTTCAGGGAAAAATTTGAGTTCAATGTGTTCACTTGTCTCTTATTCCTACATTTCTATCATCACTTAACTGCAATCTAAGGTATTAAACTTCTCCAATTTTCCTGACACCTAAACCTATTTACTACTGGTATTGAGAGGTTTATTTTACTCAATCCCTAATTACCTTCCCCTCCTTCTTCTTTTCCTTTTTCCACCATAACTTTTCATTCAAACCTGACATCAGCTTCCTTTTTACATTTTACTCCTTTTCTATACACACATAAGCCCACAAGAATAAATTTCTGCCATTTATTTACAAGAGATATACAAATTCAGAGTAAGGGAAGTGGAAGTGAGAATAAAAGAAAGCTATTCAGTCCTGAGTACTTGACACTTAATTCATATGCTATTCTATTTAGCTACAGTTTCCTGGGTCTCATTTGGTCCATCACAATTTCATTTTATCCTAGTACTTCAAATTCCTTCAAGGCACCAGAAAAGAATGATTATCTCTCATCCTAGAACACCTTTCACAGAATTGGGAGCAACTACTATCTTAGTTGACTGGTCCATTCTAAAATCTCAAAGTCTCTTTTAACTCAGAAAGCCTCCCAAATGAATGTTGGGCTGTGTGTTCTCTATCTATCTTCCTAGGTAATAATTGAGGCAACTAATTTTTATTTTGCTCCCCTTTGTTTTCCTTCTCTTCCATTCCCTCTTTTCCCATCCCCTCCTCTCCTTTCATCTTCCCCAACCAAGAAGAAAAACAAACAAGAAATGATGAAATTTAAAATTAAACCCATAACCTCAAAAATTAGAATAATTCAATTTCAGCCAGATAAGCCAAGGTGCAGAAGAAGGACCCCCATCCCTTGTATTTTACAACTAGTTAGGGTCTCATCCCAGCATCATTATTAGATCTCAGATTTTTTTGACTCTCCTGCTCCTCATCTAATATGAAATGTAACACTCTTATAGAGAAGAGACACAGATTCCTATCTATCTCATGCTGTCTCAACTTACAGGAAAAAATCAAAGATAGGAGCCCGAGAAATAGCAAATGTGTGAGTGCTACACAACCAAAGTTTTGTCAAATGTCCATAAAGAAATGTAAATTAAGCATATCTTGGCAAAAAATTGCACACATACTCATCTGAGCCAAGCCTCTTTGTCTGTATGAACACATTCAAGTTGTTCAAAGACCAAATTTTGGGGACTACTATTATCTTTACTAGGGTGACTTTTGGCAATCAGCTTAATCCTGTTATCTTTTGCAATTTTAGACTTTTCAGCAATAAGAATGAGGCTTCTGGACACAAGCAGTCTCACTTCCCAGGATCCAAACTTCTTCAATTGAATGTGAGAAAGTTAGAAAAGTAGAGAAAAGAAGGAGGGAGTGGTGAGGGAGAAGAGGTCAGAGAGAAGAGTAAGGAGAGAGAAAATTTTTTACACTTACGTTATTAACAGCCTTAGGCATGACTGACTGAGGCTGAGAGGTGACATTTTTGTTCTTCTAAGATTTCCCCTGCCAGGCATCAAAGAAAGGAAAACTTGAGATTTTTATAAAACTCAACTCTAGTCAGAGACAAAAAGTTTCTCTTTATCTGACAGTGTCCTTGCCTTTTCACATTGAACACCTCTCAGATTACAGGAATTGAAACATTTTCCATGTACATTAGAGCTTAAGTTTATTTTTCATGCCTTTGGGGCCTTATCCTTGACACTCAGCAAGCCTGGAGTAGAGGGATCAATTAATACCTATTCTGGGACCTTAGAAGAAGGAAAACACTGGCAGAGACAGCATTTTGTGATATCTACCTGTAAGGCAGGCTTTGGTGGGACAATATAATCCTTTTGTTTAGACCCCATACTGAAAATATTCTGACATATTGTTATCTATCTTTTTACATATATGTATATGTCTTAACTCTCCAAACAGCTTATAATTATAGGAGCTATAACTTTTACTTCATATTATTTCCACTGCACTTAGCACAGTGTCTTAAACATAGTTGGTTATTTGTCAATTAAAAAGTTGACATATATTGATCAAATTTGTAGAGTTATCTTCTTTCTCCTTAGCCATGATACATTTCACATAAAGAGGTACTAATGACTGTCTTATCTCAAATAACTGTTTGGTTTGTTTATGTAATACACAGTTCTATGTATCTCTGCATTTGTAAAGCAGTTTAGTCACACAATAGATAGAGTACTATACTTGAGTTACTATTTGTGTGACCTTGGACAAGTCACCTACAAAATGGGAATATTAATAGCACCTTCCCTCTAGGATTGTTATAAGAATAAAGTAAATTAATTTTATAAAACATTTTGAGAATTGTAAAGGGCTATACAAATGCTAGTGATGATGATGATGGTGGTTGTAGTGGCTTTCATTCATATAAATAAGAGAAACACTCTCAGGAGAGGTGTAAGAGATGCTCCTGAAGCTTACACTCCTGGGACTTCCCTGTCAAGATGGCAGACCAAGAATTTTGAAGAGGGTCAGGCTCATTTTATATCTCTTAAAACGCAATAAAAGAAACATGAAAGAGAAGGAAAAATTACTAAAAGACACATAAAAGGATATAAATCAAGCAGAATCAAAAATAAGTAATGTATGCCAATACAAAAAACTATGCCAGGTTGTAGCTGAAAAAAAAGGTAAAATGCCAGAAGCAAATGTTAGATGGAAAAACAAAATCCAACAATTTACAATGTATTAAGAAATCAATTGGATAAATGATGACATAATGTCATTAAGCAAGAAAAAAACATTGGTATGGATATCTCAAAAGCAAAGGAGCTAATAGAAATGTTTTTTTTAAATCAGAGGTAGAACTGAAGTCAGCATGAAGATTGCTAAAATCTATAGAAAGGAAATAATGAGGAAAAAGCAACAGCAAAGCTATAATAGAATGCTTTGAAAATAATCCACAGAAGCCAATGGGTTACTACAATGGAAAATATAGCTGTCTACAGTAATAGCCAAATGGAGGACATGCTGGGAAAATGAATCCAATATTGAAAAAAAATATTGAAAAAACTACAGTGTCAAGTTACAGGCTCACAGGATAGGTGACGATGGAGTAAAATCCGGATTAGAGTCAATTCAGAAAATATAGGAAAACAAAAGAGTCTGAACACTATCATCCAGGAGATCATTGAAGAAAACTTTCAAAAAGAGTTTTCAGAGAGTCATATGTCCTTTAGGAAGTCTTTGAACTACAACTATGACTCCACTCCAAAACTGAAATGGTCTACCATTCTCAATTCAAAACAAATTAGTTTCTAGTTAGATAACATCATATAGTCTGAATGACTAAATGTTTCTGATAAATTGAAAAAGTAAAAACTAAAAAGGAATAAGAGGCATGGGTAAAATTATATTAATGTGCTTTTATTTGTTAAAGGAGTCCAGAGTTATTTTATGTTTTAAAAAATACAGTTACTTATGTAATACAAAGAC